TCTCTAAACAATGTAGAGAGGCAGAAAAATACACTATTCGATCATAGAACTTAAAAGAAAAATCAGGCTAGATCCGACCTAGGGATCAACTCTCTTAACAATGCTAATACATTCTCATCGGAAGTTTCCCTATGCTTCCCTTTGACTTTTTTATTTTTAGACTCGTTAGATTTGTACTTAGTAGACCAGATGTGCACATACAATGTCGCATACAGCTGCTTAAAATTCTTCCAACAACACAATTGTTCGTGAAACATGAAAACAGTTATTTTTTTCCCATTTTAAACATTGCAAATGATATTTATAACTTAAAATATAAATATATATATATATTAGGGNTAAAACAACCTTGGCAAACTAGATTTAGGGCAAAATGGACAGGATCCATTCAATTGGTTTCAGGTAACTGAAATTGCTTGGCCTTTGAGGGTTAAAGATGGCGGACATCCAACTTCAAAGCCAGTCAATTTCATCATTGCGCTCCTGTGGAATTGTTTTGATGTAAATCTAAAGATGAAACTAGTTTTGTATCATGCAGAACGTGGCACAAACAGAACATTTAATTTTGTCATGACATATTCCAGGGGTGCAGAGAAAAAAATTCCAGCATAACCCCTTCAATTTTGAGGATGCAATCCTATTCATTGGCTATTAATGATCATTATATTATGTCCATATTATGAAAACTGACGAAGGTCATTGTTTGTGATATATAAGTCGACTTTTATTATAAACCTCCTCCTAATATTATATTTAGCCTTACAACAAACTCAAATCAAGTCTCTTCTGTCACTTGTCTAGAAGATATAGCCTTTCATCTTAATCTCGTCTGACAATAATCTTCAAGTTCTTGATTGGTCAAGTATTCCATAGAAGTACATGCATCCTGACACAGATTCATTATGAATTTAAGAAATTTCTAAAGCAATTCATTTATTTATCACTTTTTCGATATAAAATAAAACTTACTGTGGCAAGTATCGGGTACATTTTAATTAAGAAAGAAATCTTTTAGACTAAGAGACACGTTGACCATTTATTTTACATTTTGATGTAAAGCTATATAAACAGCTAATACTTCCCTTGCTCATTTCAGTATTCCAAAGATATTCCAGCCACTGAATCCTTACGTATTACTGTGGGCAATGACAACTACAAGGAAAGGACCAGGAGTCCATTGTCAGGAAGACTTGGTCCCCCTGTCAGCAGTTCCCCTTACAATACACAGTCACCAAGAGAGCATCGAAAATCAGAGTCCGATTCCTTTAACACTTTTGATAGTTATGGCAAGGAGGCCAAATTCTATGACCAGGGAGATCAAAGGCGTGACAGGGATCGAGGACAGGGGAGGAGTGGAGGGTATGAATCAGATAGACTAAGAAATAGGGAATATCCCAGTGACAGGTATGATGAACGAAACAATGATTTCAACAGAGAAATGCGAGGCAGAATCGACAAGTACAGTGGAGAGGACAGGTACAAAGGAGGAGACACCAGTCATAGGAGAGGGGGCAGCATTGACAGGAGGGAAGACAACAGGGGTAGTCTTGAGCGTCAGAGTGGATATAGAGAACCAGAAAGTGACGCCTTTTTCAGGGATATTAATCCAAGAGAGGATAGTGACAACAGAACTGAAAGAGAACTTCTCGGTGGGTACAGAGACTTACAAAGCAGGGATGACTATCAAAATATCACAAGGCGAAGTTCAGATGAATTGAGACCTAGTTTTCCTCTTATCCCACCAGCGCCCAAACCTCTAAAATCCATTTTGAAAAAGAAGTCTGCACCAGAAGATAGTTTGCCAGGTCAGGTCACAAATCCAGTAGTAAGAGAAGAAAATAATCTGTTCCCCATTATACGATCTACAGCAGATAGGCAGGTAGCAGATACCAGGACACAACAAAACACTGAAAAGTCCAATAGAGGTACTCCTTTCGACGATCGACTGCCAAGATCTGAGGGCAGAGGAAGCTCTAGAAGTGGATTACCAGGAATGTCTTCTTACATGGATATTGAGGATGAGGAAAAATTCTTGTATGGTGATGATGACCATGACGAAGGAAAAGATCATTCTAACAAGTCTAACTCTCAAAGACCCTCAACAGAGTCCAGGTCTAGATCACAAGATTCAATGTACACTGGGGTGGACAACCGATGTACAAGGCCAGATTCATATTCAGCAGATGATCACTTTAACAGAATGTCATCAACAGATGAACAAAGGATCCGCATGGATTCTCAACGAATACACGACCAGAGAAGTAATTTAGACTCTCGTTTAATGGGTCATGAAATAGCTGATCAGCCTATTAGACCCACTGCTGAAGAGCAACTGCATTCATCGGTGTCTTCTTTCCTCGAGGATCAGCGGTTTAAACATAATTCATACCCTCCTGCTCTTAGAGATACTGTCCAAGTGCAAGAAAACCCTGTGGCCATTCAGCCTCCAGGATTTAAGCCAGACTTATTAAGTCTATTTACATCAGGGAATGAGCTGCCAAAGGTCCAACAACCTACCCAAACTGTTCCCCCAATCCAACAACCTATTCAAATTACTCCAACACTTCCATATACAAGTCAAGTTCCACCTGAAGAGCCAAAGCAAAAATATGATCCTACGATTGAAAATATACTCAAATCCATAGGATTTGACTTTGAAATGTCAAGAAGAATGCAAGAAAAGGCAAGCAATTCATTGCCAATTCAAAAACCAAAAAAGGATGAGGAACAATTTGGTATTAATCAGACTGCATCCTTCTTAGAAGGAGGGATTTCTAATGATATCAAAAACAAACTCTTTAACAAATCAAAAAAAGAAGAATCAATAGTTGATATTCTGATGCGAGAAGCTCGAGAAGGCCCATCAAGATCAACGGAGAAGAGACATGACCGTGAGAATGAACCTAGGGAAAGGTACAAGAAGATGGAACCAAAGTCATCAGAACAGGATCGACGGTTGGAAAGCTACAAAAGAGAGAGAGATACAGTTAGAGATGCTGACCTCTTAGATAGGGAAAGGAAGAAGGAATTGTTACCAGCTGAACCAGTGAAGGAATCCGCAAGTGACCTGTATGAAGAATCAACTTACGAAGATCCAAGTCTATCTACAGAAAGTCTGTCATCTGGTATATCTTTCCAAAGACATGTGACTCCCACAGAACCACAATACCCAGCATACAGTCAGCCAGCATCTTATTCACAACCAGGATATCCCCCAGATATGGCGAACTACACAAACTCACCTGTAGCACCTCCTACACAGGTACACCCAGGTGCTGTTCCACCTTACCCTGGAGCTCCCATGGGGGCAATGTATAATGCACCTCCTCAATATGGATATGGACATCCTCCCCAAGGATTTGACCAAGGTTCTTATCCGAATTACACAAATTACCCTCCACAGGGTGCTCCATTTCAACCCAGACATAATCCACCAAATTTAGGTCCCCCACCTCATGGCCAAGCCTTCCATGGTCCACCTCCTAATGTCCCATCCCTCCGTGGTCCACCCCCGCCACCTCATGGCCTACCCCCTCAAATGAGAGTGTCTATGACTACAGACCACCAGTCCAGTGACAGTCGCACTAGAAGTGCACGATTATCTCCTGTCAAAGACACTCTGAAGGAAGAAATCCAGGAAAAAAAGACAATCACAATTGAAAAGAAAACTATAACAATATCTCCAAAGGAAACCAACAGAACTGTTATACCTCCAAATCTTGACAGGATTAAAGGTCCTGAAAAACAACCAACAGATCCTCCTCCGAAGCTGCTCACACCAAAAGAAAGAAATATTATGCTAAAGGAAAGTCAACAGAGGCGTCAGAAGATAGAAACTTTGGAATCAGAACTGCAGATATTGCGTAAACAGCAAAATGAGATGATGAGAAAGATACGCAGACAGAAAGATGGCCACAAAGATCCAGTTCTAATACAGAACAACAAACTGCAAGATGACATTTCTGCACAACTTTCAAAACTTAGAAAAGCTGCAGAGGAAAATTCAAAGATTCTTAAAGAATATAAAGTTGACCCAAATCTTCAGCCTGATGGTGAAAAGGAAGGAACTTCTGAAGCAGATGCTAAAACAAATAAACCCCTTAGGAATAGTCAGCAGGCGCAAAACCGAAAGAAAAATGAACCGGTATGGTGATAAATACTATTGCAAAACGTTTTCTAATTATTTTTCATTTTTTTATTGTTTCTAATAAATACCTTTAATGATAGCTTTTTTTATCCAATATTTTTTGTTTGAAAAATTAGTGGTTTTCTGGATAATCATAATTATTATAATCAACCTTTCAAGGGTAATAAATTAAGAAGTATAATCAACTTATTTAGGGGAAAAATAGGTTGTTTGTCATTATGAATCCAATGGAAGGGAATATTTGTTTTTGTTTACCTAGGTACACCAAGTCAAGAAGTACGAGTTTTTTGATCCCGGAGGTTACTGGTGTAAAGTGTGTAACACAGACTCTGGTAGTGTATACAGTGTCCTACAGCATTTACACGGAAAAAAACATCAGCAGGTATTTGGTCCTTAAATTGATTTTAATTCTGTTTTATTCACAAAAAAAATTCTGGAATTTCACATGGCAACACATTGCTGTATGTATGCTAAACCTTTGGTCAGATTGAATAATTTTAAATAAATACAAAGGCATTGTCAATCTTGTTGGAATTTCACGAAATTATAACCACTTGATTTCAAGAGAGTTTGAAAAATCTGGGTCAACATCAGCAGAAATCGCAGCAAATGGTCAAGTCGCCAATACAGGACAAGGATGGCCTTTGGTACATGTGTAATTTCATTAACGATAGCCAAATTTGGATAATTCTGCAGCTTTCAGTACTCAAATTTGGTGTTTGAACAATTCAAAATGTGTAGTTAAACATAGAGTTGGGTAAATCACTAGACAAAATAATTATTTCATTAGGGTGAAAATGTGTTCAAACTTTCCGCCTACCACTATTCAGATTCACCAGAGATGTACTGTAGACATGCAATAGTGGTTCCTAAGATCAAGGTTACTTTCTGAAAAAAACACATGTTTATTTTGTTGCTTGGGAATTTAGAGACTCGCTTTATACTGCAGAATATTTTGGCACTAATGAAAGTCCTAGTTCTCGCATGCTGTGTCAATATTTATATTTCAATATGCAACTACAAAAGTTTAAATGAGGCTCAGTTAAAAACAAATTATTTCTATTTTAGGCCATGAATCCTTACGATCGACCATGGGTCCCCAGAGCAATGAAGAGTCCAAGTAAACGTGTCAAAAATGAGCATCTAGAAGTGTTACCAGTTAAAGGTAATGGTTTCAAAAATGTCAATATCCTTCGTTCCAATTTATGATGTGATGTCCCAAAACGTAGGTCAATATTTATTGATTTTCCCGGTAAGAAATGTTGCTCCTAACTGTTTGCGACCGGAAGTGATGCGCAGAAATACGTTCACATAGCGTTGACAACACATGAGTGCACTGTAAAGTGAAACTACGAAATTTTCCCAGGCAGGAGGCTAGCGATATGTAGCCAATTAATAATGATTTTGAGAATCTGCAATGTTTTACAGCATTATTTACAAGGAATAGGTATTGAGTTATCTTTGTTAATGCATTTAGTGAATTGAGTTGTCATATTTTTATCAAAATAAAGAGACATTGGTGGCTGTATTTCATGGCACACACAAAACACGGTTTCCCAGTTTCAGTTCAGTGAAGCACACACGATTATCCGACTTGCATTATTTCTAACCATTGCAGCCCTACAAGAAAACACAGAAAAAAGAGCCAATAGAAACCCATATCTACACTTCTCATCAGAATGAAATTCTTACAGTGTAATGCCCCAGACTGTGACAGTACTTTAACCGTCCCTTCACAAATTGGCCTCCAATTTTAGGCATTAGCAACATAACCATCAACCTCAATAGTATTGTCAAGCTACATGTGTTGAACAGAGGTGCTGTTATTGTGACATCACATTGAAAATAACTCAATCACATTTCTGACATAGCAATTAAAGAATTTAATGATATTGCTTTTTGATAATCAGATAAGTTCACATATTAGCTGTACAGTTGGCATTGTATGTATCCCTCTAGCTGAAAAAATAATTCTCAGCTGTGAGGGTGAGATTGAAAATCTCATAATTTTGGGGTAAGGTTTTTAAATCTGCAGCTTTCACAGATATAAGTCCATGAAATATGCAAGTCTGACATCACAAAGTGTTCCATTGTCATTACACTGGGCAATTTCAGATCGAGATATTAAACTATAAAACCTCACATGGGCTGTTGAAGTAAAAGTAAAAACCTTATCCATTTTCAGGCCAAGAGTTCCTGGTGCCCTGTAAGGCTTTCTACTGCACGTTGTGTAAGGAGTTTGCTGGTGACGAAGCTTGTGCTGACTTTCACATTAAAACAGATAGCCACTATCAAAATTATCTGGTAAGAACATGGGTTATATAATTTTTCATGGGACTACTTTTTAAGATTTTTCAAATCCATTTTTTTTTCAAGAAGCTGTTATCGTACAAGTTGTCTAGATCTCCCGTTACATAAACCAAACTTACAGTGAAAAAAGATCTACTGTTTATCATTATTTTTTATAATTATTATCTTTATCTTAATTATTATTATAAGTATTAGAATTTTTGAAAATCTATAAAATTAGAATTTTTGAAAATCAATAAGTTTAAACCACAGTTCACTGCACCATTTTCACAACAGTGACATGTTCTATTGTCTGACATGTCTACGACATCAATCTGACAAGGTATTTTGATGTCTCATATGGGTCTCGGCAGATGCTACCAACAAAGAAACCGTGTGGGCGGTGGGGTTGGAATTACGACACATAATATTCCTCCTACGACATACAAAGGAAAGTTCTTCCATATTTTATATCTGTGAATGATCCATGAAACAAGAAATGTGATGAGTCTAGCTAATGCATTTCCCGTCATGATAAACACTGCTTTGTCAAACTGGGTGTCAACATCTGCCTTTCCTTGCTCCCAAATGATTCCTCAAGTTCACATACAATAGGCTACACTGCTGAAAACTCTTTGTGTAGAATCACCTAAGTTATAACTCATTCGTAAATTACACCACTATTTCATTAATATTTTTTCTGGACAAGTTTGTTCCAGCTGAATGAAGCACAAAATTTATGAATGAAAGAAAAGTTTGTTATCAAAACGTTTTTGGTTTTCCTTCCCATTAATAGTACTTGCGAGTTATAGGGATTGAATCTAGATTTTTACAATGTTTATACAAGTATGAAGAGACAGCTCATGTGGTNCCCCCCCCCCCCCCTTCATACTTGTATGAACATTGGAAAAATGCAAATTCAATGCCTTTATGCTCCCATCCTGATCTTGGTACATCATTTATAACAGATTTTTATCAAACTTAAAGCTAAGATCAAATACGACAATATTTTGAATGAGTTTTATTTTTCAGGAACCAAATGTCAAGACGACTGTTACTTTTTTCAGAGATTTGTCCCAAAAAAACATGAATTTGCATGAGAGTGGCCCGGGGCATTCATCATGTTTTACAAATGTTCTTAGTTAAGGTATGATGTAATATTGGTTTCATAGGGCTTTTGTGATAATTAGCAAACCATTTTAAATACAAAGGTGAAAGATTACGACAAATTTGTGTTCTTGTATATGGAAGTATTCAAACATGTGTGTGTGTGTTAATGTTTCAGAAACATCTGGAAAAGAATGAGTTTTATGAGCAGAGGATGGGGCTAGATAAAGCAGCAGGTCGTAGTGGAAGCAAAGATATGAAGAATGTGAAAAAGGAAGACCGAAAAGAAGATCGAAGGGAAAAGAATGAACAAAAGAGGCAACGAGTTCAGGAGAAAGAAAAAGTGTGGGAGAAACCGGTGACTGAATTAGACTTGGAACAACCTGCTAAAAAACCGAAGATGTCACCAAGTGAACCAAAAGATACTAAAGCGGTCAAGTCTGGTGAAGGTTTTGGCAAGTTTACCTTCACCCCAGTTGACAAAGACAAAGGAAAGAAAGAAGCTGATAACGATGAAGAGCAGGAAAAGAAAGAGAATGAATCCGGTCAAGACAGCAAAAGCAAGATAGCAATTAACATTGTCAACAAGATGGGTATAAAACCAGTACCTGGTGCAAAAATCTCCGGAAAGAAAAACCCATTGCTGCCACCTTGGACTCCGGTTTCCAAACAAGAAAGTCAGAAACTGACAGCTGGGGTTTCTAAGGTTGAAGCCTTCCCACTGAGGAAAGGTTCTGGAAAAACTGAGCATGCAGGGGGAAAGCCTTCATCGCTGGACATGTTCTTAACAATAGAAGATAAATCCAAGCCGTTACCAGTGATGAAGGATAAGCCAAAGGTGACTGCACAGGATATTCTAAAGGCTTTCACTGGAAAACTTAAGGATGACAATGCCAGCCCAGCAGAAAAGAAGAACCAGACTGATGGAAGTGAAAAGACCAACGCCAGCCCTGCAGAAAAGAAGAACCAGACTGATGGAAATGAAAAGACCAAACTGACTTGTGAACAGAAAGAAGAACTTGAGGACTTGAAAATGCTTGGCATCGACCCTATTTTTGAGAAACCATTAGCTGAGAAGAAAGTTCCACCTCCACCTTCCCAGAATCTTTCTCTGCCCCCAAGCCAACAAACGCAAGTGGGGGTTGCTGATAATCCGGAAAAAGGTAAGTTATCTATACTACCAATGATGGAGATGGACATCCCTTTGCCACCGTCAGCACCGTCCAAGGCACAGAGTGTTGAAAAGGTTGCTGAAAATGGTGAAGTCAAAGGTTCTGCAATCAGTACCGAATTGCCCATGGACCAAGGAGATATTGTACCAACTCCTGCAAAGTCTGAGGAGGTAACACAGCCTACAGCTGAGATTAAATCTTCTGTCGCTGAATTGGAGGACGTTAATGGTACGTATATTATATTTTGAAACAAGTTATGATGGATTTAGAGACAATATGATGTAGTAGATAATTGTAACATTAAGGGGATATTTTGGTGAAACTGTATACAGCAGCATTATGGTATAAAATGACATAAGACCAGATCAGAATGTATTCTTATAGCAAGATCTACAGCAGCATATTGAAGTATTATATTAAATGTGGCACAAGACAAAATATGATTCGTGTTTCCTGTTTCAGATGGAGCTAGTGACTGTAGTGGATACAGCATGCACATGGGCAGCGACTTCGAGGTTGTGGACGAATGTGAAGCAGATGAATTATAGAGTTATCTCCCTTGACCCGGAGTTGTAGGTGACATCAAATTTTATGCAGAGAGATTGTGACATCATCGTAGCTGTGGATTTTTTATACTAAAGATGTGGACATTTTATTCCATCAGAAATATGGAGTTTTTATTTTAAGTTGTGATCTTGGATATTAAAAATTTCTATCAATCATGAAAATGTACAAATGTTTCTAAACAACAATAAACCAAGAAAATAGATGGAGAAGAGATGAAACAGGATTTGTTTCCTTTCCAGTTTCTCGTTACAGATTATACAATTGTACAGGCTTTTGTGTTGACTATTCGTGAAATAGAAGTGTAAAAGAGAACTTTCAGTCATTTAGCAAAAAGATTTCAAAATGCACGAGTTTGCAGAAAATTGTAGTTGTGCTTGGAATGCTATGCGGATGTGTTCACAAGAAAAACTGCAGAAGAGGAAAGTCCCATTATTCATCATTTGTGCTCATTTTTATCACAACATGGGGGGGGGGGGTTCTGAGTGAATAAATGTTTCAGTTATTGTGATATGGTTTTAAAATAGAATTTCAAATCAAGTCAGCCACATTTCATCTACTTACTTTCTGATCATGATAATTACATTTAATGCATGCATTTGAATGTGTCGTGTCTTGATTTCAACCATTCAGCCCATCTATGTATTATACATTATTAAAAAATGTGGTAGAATCAAACGGCGACATTTTTTTATATTTTTTTAAAGGTCTGTTTTTCTCGCATACTAACACTTCCAATAAACATTATTTGATATGATGACTTTGGGCTGCAATAAAAGAGATTCTTTATAATGAAGTTGACGTATTTATTTATGTCTGGGTCCTTAACTGAAGATGTACCATATTCATCATATTGTGCTCTTTCACCATTGTATCACCACTTTCATTTCAAAGCTTATCCATCATTATAAATCATACATGTATACGGGTTTAGCAAGCCCGAGTACTAGTAAATGGATATTATATTAGGAGTCATACATTTTTAGCTTGTTCTTTCAAAGAATAAGGTCGCCATATCATTGCTGTTAGTATTGAGGTTTAAACATTCATCAGTGTAATTTTAAGTTTTAGGATGGTGACATTTAAATTTTGTGTTTTAAATATTTACATTTAAATTCAGTATTTGTGTAAGTATGCTGGTACGAAAGGTAAATCTATTTATTTGTTGCCTATTTCACCTGTTTTGGACTACAAATGAAGTAATTTACGAAAAAGTGAGCTCTGCTGTTCTCTGTTTGGGATAATGTTACTTCCTTTGTAGTATTATAAAACACATTTTGAGTTCACTTAAGCATTGTTTTATCACCATCACTCGACATACCATACATATTTCTAATGATATTTGAGCCATTTTTAAAAAAAATTATAATGATTTGTTTATGTTTTGAAAGCAGGAAAGGGATCGGCATGAGAAAAGGCGTTGGTCAAGAGCGATAAACGACAGAAAACAGAAGGCAGTCCATAAAAGAATATACGAAATCGGTTATAACTGGAACACCTATAGCTTGATTTAGATGTTTTAGGTCCCTGCTCCAGTTATAACCGCCCCTGGGACCCTTAACACATGAAATGAGATGTTTTGATGGCATGTCTGCATGCTCATTCCTCTTGTCTTAATGAACTTGTGACCAGCTACGGCAGAGATTTTGGGACACCTGTTGATTGACCAAAGATCGGAAAGTATCAACATGAAAAAATTTCCACCATTTGATTGGTCAAATCTGATATTGAAAGGAGCCAGGTGATTGACCAGGATTGAACCTAAAAACTCACTATAACTATATGGGGTCATTTGAGGATGGTTACCACTGATTGAGTCGTCAAAGTACAACATCTTTGAAAAAGTCACAAACTTGATGCCAGAGCATGTCAACTCATGATCCGGTCACATTAGTTGGACAACAGACTAACCAGAAGGGCATATGGTGACAGAAGAAAACAGAAAAGATGGAGGTCCCAAGTGTTGACTATGCTGACAAAGGACCAGTTTTGGTTCTCCACAGTGACCCCATGAAAGGACGAGACAAATTCCTGATTCTGCATGATGATAAATCATGAAACGTTGGATGTACACGAAACAACGTCAGAAAACCTATGGCATATTGTGGCCAATATCACCTAGCAGCATAACAGAGGAACTGTCCGGAATTTACCAAAACTGGGAAAGAATAGAAGAAAATAAAAGTCGGAGGTCGTCTGGTAATGTCAGTAACACAACTGGTAATGAAAATTAATCCCGCCCCCCCTCCCATATATCATCAGATAAAGATTATGTATATAATTTGACCTATACCAGCTTGATCTTTATAAGTATTTTGCATTAGCTTTATATACCTTGTCTTTCAGAGCCTTACTGGTGGACCCGGTGACAGACTTGCTTCTACCTTGTGTATATTTTAAGTGGGCCTAAAAAAGGATAATTTTCTTAAATAAAAAAAGAAGAAAATAAATTATATAGACTTAGATTAACAGACACATTCGAAAGTCACAGGAGCCGAGAAAACCTCTTGGACAAACGTCAGGAAGACCAGCAGGAGCCGAGAGAATCGCTTAAACAAACGTCATGAAAACTAGCAGGAGCCGAGAGAACCGCTTTAATAAACGTCATGAAAACCAGCAGGAGCCTAGAGAATCGCTTAAAACAAACAGGGGCCGAGAGAATCGCTTCGCTTTAACAAAGGTCATGAAAACCAGCAGGAGCCGAGAAACCCTTGAACAAAAGTCATGAAATCCCAACAAACCTAGAGGCGAAGCCACGTTTTCTGGAAGGGTAGGCGTTTTAGAAATGAACAGGGGAGTAATTAATAAGACATCGTAGTTGGAAATCTGGCCTCGATGACGACCGTACTGTTTCTCAACTTGACTACTCAGACGAGAAGTTTATTGTTCAACAAGAAGGATTTATCAAGAGAGATCCGATACTCTACAAACAGCAAATTACCTGTCATGCATAGGCCTAAAGTTCATATAAATGAACGGCTGGTATGTTACCATTGGCGGATTTTGCAGTCTTGAAACTTGTAGTCGACGGGTTTGATAGTGGGATGACTATTTAGTTTTTTCTGTAAGGAAGTTTTAATATACGGAACAGAAAATAAAAAGAATTCTGGGGTGTTTTTTTTTCAAATTTATTGTTAAAAACAAATAAACAGCTAAATAGGAAATTAATAATAATTCATAGAAGCTTCCTACATGAACATGCTTGATAATGCGGCTATCTTGGATTTTGAGTTTATCGTTATTTTTCGAAAAATATTCGATCTTTTTCTAAGCTCCTTTTGACTTTGTTGACCATTTTCAGCTTGATTGGAAATATTGGCGACCAGGCAGATATCTATGCAGCTTATCACTTATTCTGAAAAATTCTCAAATGTTTCATGAATAAGTTTTTCCTGTTCCATACTTTTCCACTTCAAAACGCAATTTTACGCATTAATATACTATATGTGGTAGTAAATAGGTCCAACAATATTATCGGTTTGAAAGTTACAGTCTGCTATCTCTTGATATGACTCGGTCCAACAGATAGGAGAAACAATATAAATCTTGCATAGAACCAATGAAGATCTTCATATATTGGGCGTTAAGATCCCTGTGGGTTTGACCTACAATAAAAGTCGCAGGGATGTTTTTGTCTTAAATACCTTCAAATAAATTTATCTTGGACTAGCTTTTAAGGTCATTGGTATGTGACATGTTAAAAACTTGAAATTCCATAGTTTCCAACAACATATGCTCCAAAATAGTAGTGACCCGCTTTCTAGGTCGTGTCAAGATCTTTTCTGTTGAGCCCTTTTTAATTTTCTTAGTTACCAGTACCATTGAGCGTATATGGCGGCGCATCATTTGTCGTCAGTGTGAACTGAACAGGCTTGCATAACCAATAGACTTGCAGTCATAATAAATGGCAAGTAGCATGCTGGCATGAAATACTACAAAGTTTGGGAAAAGAAGTGACCTTGGTCTATCACGGATGTTAAATGAGCTCGAACACTGAAATTGCTTCTTTTGAAGAACCAACAGCAAGAAACATCATACCTATGGCCGATAGCTTGCATGGAATACTGAAAAGCATAAAATAAAACGCCTTTACCTACATTCAAGCTCATAAGGGTTAAATCTATTCAATACAGTCCTGGGATCATGATAAGCGACCAGTAGCTTGCTGGCGTGGAGAACTCCCATGCATGGAAAAGAAATTGTCGTAACCGATATTGTAGGACACGAGGGTCAAATCTTGAAACGCTGGGCAAGGGGGGGCATTTTGAAGAATTCGAAAGCCACGAGTCGAAGTATGTTTGGAAAAGCAATTTCATTCAATCAAACTCGACGACCACACTGAGGGGTAAAACTTTCTAAATTTCTCGGATTCCTGAAGATTCACTAGTAGGTTGACGAAATCGAGTGCCATAAACTTTGCATGGAAAAAAGACCTATGTTCTTAACATTGGTAAAATCTGTTTAAACAAATGACTTCTCAAGAACCGGAAGTCCTACATGGCTGACATGCTGTTGAATTTTGTCGTACAGTAAAGAGATTAATGAATAGAGATATATTTGGTATGTACCTTGCGGGGGAAAAGGACAAGCGACATTTCGAAGCGAGTTTGATGTTCACACTCGAGGTCGTTTAAGCCGAAAATGTTAGAACCCTCGCATGTTTTATTCCTAAATAGCCACGAGATAATTTATCATCGTACTGGAATAAAGGTGATTGGCCCATATTCTATGCCTCAAACGTCAAAAGTGTAAAAAAACAAAAACAAAAAACAAAAAAAAACCCTTCCTTTTGAAGATCGTTGAAATCTAGAGCCTTTTTCCAAATATTATTTTGGCCTACATGGAAGGTCGCAGATTCAACCATGGTGACAGGAGCCAAATCTTTTTACAATTGAGTTACACAATTTTATAATTGAGAATCAGTTTTGGGATTCAAGGTGGCAGCTGTGGTGTTTTACAATTACAACCCAAGTTCTATTCGGCCAATTTCGTTGGTGTAGCCGACCGTAAATGTATGGCTTCCATGGCCTGTACTTGACCGGGGCAATTACACAAACATTCATAGTTGTTTTTAATGGACAAGCATTGTTTCTTTTTCATGCAGAGCCATCTTTTGCATCAAATCACTGACTTTTTTAGCTATAACTTGAGTTGTATGAGACCACTTCTAGCTCACCTGGTCCGAAGGACCATGGTGAGCTTACGCCATACCGCAGCGTCCGTCAACTTTCTTTTAAAACGGCCAAGTAGATTTTGACTAAATTAGGACTGGAGCATCCTTAGGCCAAGGGGACTCAATTTTGTATAAACGGTGGGTGTGGCCCCCCTGGGGGCAGAGGGGTGGGGACGAATAGGGGAAATAGAGGTTAAACCTCTAAAATCCATCTTCTACCGAGGGAATAAGGGATTTTATCCTAATTTAGTCTGGAGCATCATTGGGCCAAGGGTACTCAATTTCGTATAAATGGTGGGTCTGTGATATAGGGAAAATATAGCAAATTCTGTAAAACTTGTAAAATCCTTCTTCTGTAGGAATGAAAGGATTTGTTCCATATTTGGTCTGAAGCATACTTGGGTGAAGGGGAACCAATTTTGTATAAACCGTGGCTCTGGCCCGCCAGGGGCCTGAGGGGCGGGGCCCAATAGAGGAAACATAGCAAATTATTCTTTAAAATCCTTATTCTTCAGATACCTTCTTCCGTACGAATGACAGGATTTTGTCCAAATTTCGTATGAAGCATCCTTCAGTGAAGGGAAACCAATTTTGTATAAACGGTGTGTCTAACCCCCCTGGAGGCAGAGAGGCGGGGCCCAATAGGAACAAATATCATACCATAGGGATTAAGGGATTTTATCCTAATTTAATCTGGGGCATCCTTGGGTCAAGCGGACTCAGTTTTGTATAAGCAGTGGGTGTGGGTTCCCAGGGTGCAGAAGGGCGGGGCCCAATAGGAGAAATAGAGGTAAAACCTTTAAAATCCTTCTTCGACCATCGGGATTAAGGGATTTTATCCTTATTTAGTCTGGAGCATCCTTGGGCCAAGGGGTCTTAATTTTGGATAAACGATGTGTATGACCCTCCCTAGTCATAGGGGTGGGGCTCTGTTTGAAGTTTGTTCTCGCTATATCTCAAGTACTGGATGGATATTTCTGAAATTTCATATGTACTTACAGCACGTCCTACCATGGAGTGCTATAAACATATGCAGGTGATACAGGCCCTCTGGGCCTCTTGTTCTTATACTTTGTGGAAAGGATGCATAAGGAAAATTGATTTTATAAACGACCCGACTTTTAAATGTCAGTGTCCCACGACGGTTAATATGACCTATGATTGGCCTGATCCTAGTTATAAGTGGAAATCCATTTGACAACACTTTACATAACTTGTGGAGATTACTCGGGGGATGTAATTCTCAGATCCGGTATCTTAAGATGGTTATGGCCTCTGCTTGGTCTTGCTACTTATGGTGTCTCTAGTTTGATCTGGCCGANTTACAAGTGTTAGATTAATAACAGGTGAGCGATGCAGGCCCATTGGGCCTCTTGTTATGTTTTGGTATCTCAGGATGGCTATATGGCCTCTGCTTGACCGAGACGTTAACAGTTATAACTATACTTTCTGAGTGGATACGTAGGGATATTTTTCACGTCGAAAGACCGGCTCAAATTTCGGTGAGTCAATGTGGCCTCTGATTCGGGCCGAGTTTCCTAATGCTTTTTCTTAGAAACTCCTTCAGGAATTATAACAAAATTAGGAATGCATGACCCGCTTAGTTTGTGGTTATACATGTATTGATTTAGAGATGGATCGGGGGGAAAACAAAAGCCGTCGGGCAGATATTTGATTTAACTTAATAACCTGAATTAATCTATACGTTTTATGTTTTATAGCAATAATCGATATTCTTTGAGGTTTTCCTTATTTAGTCTGGTTTATGTCGGCTAAAGCGAAGTCTCGGTCTCATTTGAAATATTACAATCGCCTTTTGAACATCTTGTGTCCATTAACATTTTTCATTTTCGCCTTTTAATAAACAGCACCAATTCTGTAGGTAGCATAGTTATTACTTCTTCCGAATACGTGCACAGCTTTCAGTCTTCTTTTCAAAATTAAGTTGTTCAATAAAATTCTGTCTGGGAAGACCAGGGTCAGTATTTCCGAAACCGTTTTCATGCTCAAACTCGAGCGCAATTCCTTGTTCCCGAGATAAATTAATAAAAACCGCATTTTGTTAGTGATTTGGAAGAAGTATGAAAAGATGTTAATCCTAATTGCCGTTTTCAATGGTTACAATAGTAGTATGCTACATGATTTAAACGAGTAACAAGAAAGATAGCACAGAATCCGTGTATGAGTATGAGAATGGTTTTAGGAATACAGGTCCAGAACGACAATATTTAATCCTCTTACTTATTCCAATTCGAAACAGAACTTTATGATTTTTTCCACGCACATGTTTATGCTTCAGTTTAAGCAAGATTGACCCGTACTTGGGTTTTTTCTCTCAATTTTTGCTTCTGTTTATCGCGTTTATAACGAGATAACTAGCGCGTTTAAACGAGATCATTTAAACCTTTTCACTAGAAAACAAATGCATTATAACGAGATAACGTAAGTTAACGCGTAACACGGGATTAAAATAGCTTTCTAATCTTTCAGATTGAAACTAATAGGTCGTGATGGAACTTGTGCATTCTTTGATTTTGGATGGGTAGAAATAAGCAGAGAACAAGACTTAAGCATAGAACAAGGCTTAAAGAGTATGTCGACACTTGGTTTACATGATCCCCCTTGATACCTGTACATGTGCTTGTTTAAGAAAAGATAGAAAAACATATGTCAATGATCAGCCCAAAGGTTCCTCTGGTATTACCTGTATATCAGGAAAATTACTGTTTAAAGGTTCATGAATATGACTGCTATCAGGGGCGGGTCTAGGTGAGGGCAATTTATCATATTCATTAATTAAACACATAAACACCCTGACACTTTAACTATAGAATATACATTCTCCAAGTCAGGAACCGTTACATTTGTGCATTTCACAATTATTTTATGTTTTTTAGCCAAAAAAAGGTCCAATTTCTTTTTGCATAAAAAAAATAAAGATTTCATTCTACGCCGCCCCTGGCTATGGCTTCTGGTTGTTTAAAGGGGCCGATTTGGTTGTTATTTGATGAGATCACTACTGTTATAAATAGTACCTTTTCCACTGATTATTTATTGAAGGATTTATTAAATGACTTTGAAAGATGAATATTGTAGCGAATAATAGAACTAATATTTGTACACAATGCATGCATCCTCATTAATACATCAACTACTCTCTATCAAAATCATTAAAAAAAATCATAAAGTGTTCCTTTCTAAATGGAACATTGTACGTCCAGTGCCGTAAGTAGGCCTTGTTTGTAATGAATTCATTTAGGAGCGGGTCTAGGGTAGGGCCTTGATAGGGGGTAAAGCAAGCTTTATTTTTGTTTTGGTTTGTTTCTCTGTTTGAAAATTTGACGGATTCACCTGCGTACCAGTGTAAAGGCAGCTATGCGCCTGACGTCAATGTATTTGTCAATGAGGCTTGGTCAGTTTTCCTTGACAGTTGGCTTATAAACTAATTGGCTTATTAGTAGATATTTTAAGTTCAAAGATACCATCCCAGTGCATGTCACATAAGAGGCGACTAATGTGGGAACGCCCTGCAGCTTTTCTATCAACGGCGCAAGTTGATATCACAGTCATATATGTTAAAGCATAGTAGATCTGTTCTCCTGGCACTTAGACCAGTGAGTCATGATATCAGTAAACATCTTTTGGAGGGTTTTCAGAAATCGAATTCTGCAAAAAATAACTTGCGCACAAGACGTGAGACACGGGCGGGAAAGGGTGCTGTTAGGTGAATTTCAAGTTTTATCGGTATTACATCCAACGGAACCAGTGTTTGTATCCCCTCGGCCCTGAACACTGATAATCTCATCCAGTTGGCTACTACAAAAGGTCTCTCCGCCTCGCACACTTTCTTGCATGGACACACTTTACCTACAGAAGTATCGGGCATCAACACTATTTTGCGTGTACTCGTCACAATACTTCCACACGGATTCCAACATCAACAGTATCGTACGAGAATTTACATGTCATCAAGCCAACAAAAGGTGGTCACTGTAAGTCAGTTATTCCTCTGAATTCAGTTTCCTTAAACTGTCGCTCGGTGAAGAATAAGTCATTGTCCATCAGAGATTTTGTAACATCACAGGACATTGACATTCTTGCAATGACAGAAACCTGGTTAGGTTCAGATATCGATGACCAGGTACTAACTGAGCTAATACCAACATGCTATGGATTCCTTCACAATGCTACACTCGGCAGACGTGATGGAGGGGTGGCTGTTCTGTTTAAGAAAGACCTTAGTGTGAGACATCTCTCCCCAAGCCATGATGATGTATGCACACACTTTGAGCACATGACTTGCTCTGTCATTGCTGGTGATACAAGTTTTAGATTGTTTATCATTTGCAGGCCTCCTCCATCTGAACAGAATGCTTATCGAAATACGGTGTTTTTTTATGAGTGATCTCTGCATTGGATAGCAAGTGCAGAGCGGTGCTTGTCATGCTGGACTTGTCAGCTGCATTTGACGTCATCGACCATGGAATACTTTATAAGCGTCTGAAGTACTATTATGCTGGATATAGTCTTATCTGAGTGAACGACGACAGTGTGTTGCCATCGGATCTACCACCTCGCATGGCAAAGTACTAGATTCCGGGGTTCCTTAAGGGTCGGTGTAAGGACCACAAAAATATTGCCTGTATTCCAAACCGATCGGAGAGATTTGTCGTCGCCATAGTTATCATGGTTATGCTGATGACACACAAATTGACATGGTCATCAAACCACAAAACAGTTGGGATACAACATCGGACAATCTGGAAGCTTTGTCCGACAGACATCAGTACCTGTCTGTGACCTATAGAAAACGGTGCTTTGGGAGGGTTTTGGCCACCTTGTGGAATAGCTTACCATCTGCTTTTAGAAAGTCAAATACCCTGGCCGAATTCAAGAAGGACATACAAACACATCTCTTCCCATCTGCATTGTAGGCTCTTTGCACAGACGTCATGTACATGTGCACATTGAGATGATTATCTTCTTGCTTAATGAATAATGGTGATTGTATGCCTTTTTTTTTACTCAACTATTATCCATATGTTGTAAAGCACTTTAGTGTAATTAAATATAAATGTTGTATATCATTGTTATTATTATAGCTTCTAACATTCATAATTTTGATCACCCTAGTATGCATAAAACAGACATATTTCTGATAAACAATTAATTGGATGCATTTTGATATGGTGGTACACAAAATGAATGGTTTACATTGTAGATATGCATTTACAATAGTTCGTAAAAGTGATAAATACTGGAGGTATTGGAAACTAATTTTCCATCTTCGCCAGTAGAGTCAAATGGTTTCCCCTTATTACGATTATGAACAGATTAACAAAAGGAAAAACCGAATACTTGTTAATTTTAAAACACTCCACGATTTCCGTAGTGCGAGGACTTCCCGATTATGTAACATTATATAACACTCATTATATAACGCTGTCTATAAAAATGAATACATGTTTCATGCAGACAGCCTATATGTATCGTTTCCTTACTGTCGTCTCGTGTTTACAATACACCACCAGAACGAGTGTTACTTGGAGCGAATCAAAGATCTGGTCATATATTTACTTTTTCAGCACTTAATTGACTTGTGGTATCGCCAACCTTGATTGAATTGATCACATCACCTGCGGCATTTAACAATATTTACTGGTATACCAATAGGACACATTTTACGTACGGCACTTTTACATCTGAGATTTTCTTAATCTTTGTACTATAAAATTGGATAGCTGTTCATATTTCATTTTATAACGTAACAGGATGCGTTAGGTCACTGACTTTTGTTTAGAATGGCATCTGATGCGATGATGTAACCGGAAGAATCTGAATGGGGGTTCCCCATTTTCACATATGATAGAATATCCTTGTTTATGCATGACATTGGAAGGAGGTAAGTGTCAGATCGACTGTTTGTAAACCATTGTCTCTCCGTAATGTTGCTATAAATAGACACACTCTTTATTATGTTTTGATATAATACGTTTAGTTGCGACGAGACAAATTATTTCTGAATATTATTATTCATGCTGTATTTGTTTATATGACATGCTGTATTTTGTAACATACATGTAGTTCATATACATTGTCGGGATGTGCTCATATCATTGAATCCATCGATACATTTTTTTGCATTCAAATTATTTTAGACGTGTGTGTACTATTCAGAAATAATTTGTCTCGTCGCAACTAAACGTATACGACATATACCAAAAAGAAATATGGGGGAGATAGGCAAAATTAAATTTTAACCAAATACAGCAAGTCATATAACCACATACAGCATGTCATATAACCATATACAACATATGATATAACCAAATACAGCATGTCATATAACCAAA